ACATTGGGGTGGTGCCAGGGCAGCCAATGTAGGGGTAATCCCTAGGGCTCCAACCACCTCCTGAGAAGATGGTTGGGCTAACCACCTCCTGAGGAGATGGTTGGAGCCCTATAGGGAATATGCGGCGGTCAAGACATCTGATATTTGGATGGTATGTCATCAAGATCTGCGGAAGCGCAATAATTTGCGCGAGCCAGTGTTTGGCATACACTGAGGTAGGCAATTGACATAACTCTTTCATCTCATGACTACAAAGGTTTTGACCCTTCATCTGGAACAGCTCAGGTCCCTAATATGCTCACAAGGACCACAAAACTCTGCTGTCTGTAGCGAGTGATAGGTGGTGCGAAGTATTGCACCCTTTGAGAAGGAGGAGAGCAATTATGACTGCACCTGGTGGGCTACTTCGTAGGAATTCCCATTGTGGATGAGAACATCCACAAGTCGTACAACTCGTTTGGGGCTGCTTGCCTGCCTTGCCTACCCCTTTTTCATCATCCTGTAAAAGTGGACACACCTCTTTGAACTCCATCGTACGAATGCCGGTTCTACCGATGGTCCTATACACTGTATTGGATGGTCAAAACCTGGAGCTCCAACACCATGTGGCTTGACCTTCCAGGTAGGTCAACTGGTCGGTATCACGGTTAGGACCCACAGCCATCTCCAACCAAAACTTGCGCCATCCCGGGAAGCAATCCCGAGGCAGTTTGACCTCAACGCAGAAACATGTTGCTTGCCGCTCATCTGCTCTCAGCATGTGCTTAACAGTAAGCTTGCACAACAGCGATTCGATGCAATTATCTTAGAATAAGGCCACCGCCCGAAGGGTTCTAGGCTCGAGCAAGTCATTTTGAAAACCTCAAAATCAGGTCATGTAGGAGAAGTCTGCTCCTAAGCTAAAGCTTATCAAACTCAAGGGTGCCTAGCAACCTGTCGTGATTTGGATTCCCTGTTCCAATACAAACCAATGAGAAAGTCAAGGAGTGAAGTGAAATATTGCACCTCTCCTCTTACATGATCTTAGCTCGTCGCCTGGTTTCGCCAAGCCCAGCCGCTCAAATCCCACCCTTTCCGCCCAGGGCACCACTCGGGGCTTTGATGATGGAAGTGGCACATCGTGCTGTTCGCCACCTAGGACATCCCGGGTTCGGGCGAACAGCGGTGCACATGGAACGACTGACGTTCGGGTGAACCAGGCAACAAAGCCCTCGACCCAAGTGTGGGCGTAGCGTGGAGGACGATGGAGGACGATGTCATGTGTGGCAGTTCCTTGCGGGCGGTTGCATCACCAAAACATGTACCAGGACCATCCTGTCTGGGTGTTCAATGGACTACCTTACACTACTTAGGGAACTCCATTGGACACCCATTCGATGGTCCAGGTAGAAGTGATTAGAGTTTGGTTCAATGTGGTGCGGTCAGACGTGTTGTGAAATACTCCTGGGGAAAAATACTCCTGGGGAAAGTTCCTCAAGCAACCACCCTCATCCCGCTGCACCACCACCTAAACGAAACCTCGACTCTTATCTCTATCCGCGTAACCCGCAGAACTTTCAGGGCGTCTCTTTTACTCAATGCACATCAATGCACCCTTCCAGAACCTTTTTTTATCTTTCTTACCTCTCCGCGGCCACCAACAGCCTTTTATAAATACCAGCCGGGCCTTCAGTTTTCCATCGCGCAAATCGGTCACCAGCCATCCATCGTCTGGGCCATCCCACCCGTCCGTCCCGTCTAGATTGGGTGGGGTGGCCCAGTGGGTCCCAGGCACGGTCAGCCTCTCCTCGTAGTGGGCGAAGTCCACGAGATCTCCTTTGAGAAGATCCTTCACCTCCACGTCCGATCCACGGTGGGACGGCAGGTGAGGAGTGTCCGATGGTTGGGGGGTGAGGCCGAGCCACGCACTGAATGGAACTACAAGGAACATCAAGGAGGATCCCGACATGCTCCGTTGCCAACTGGATAGGAGAAACATTATGTATTTATATGTGTCGTTTAAATGTATTTAAACAAATTTAGAATAGAAAGTCACTCTCTTCCATTGAGCCCGCCCCCAATATAGTGGTAAGCTGGTCCGTATGTTGCTTCGAAATTTGTTCTCGGATGTTCTCTCCCCTTTTTCCACACGGCCTACCTCTTCCATGTGCCTTGTGGCGGAGCTTCTCTCGGAGGAAGTGCTGCGCGACCAAGGCCACCTGGAGATGGCCCTCGCCTCGCGTCGAAGACGACGGGAGGGTCTCCCGCCGGGACCCGGGACCCAGGACCCAGGAACGACCCGTCGTTTGACCCATCCGGTGAAACGTTTGACCCATGTAAAAACCCTAAAACTCATCCGGTTGTGACTGGGTCCTTTCTTTTTGCAACTGGGTCTAAAACCATAGTTCAGGATTCAGGCTCTTGAAGCATTATTGAATGCATGATGGTCAGGAAACCTGGGGAAAAGGTGAAGCGTTAATTGTTTCGGAGCGGCTGGTGCCCCACGTTGTGCTTCCGAGAAAAATAAAGGTGACAGTGACAGGGGAAACGAGGCTAACGAGGGAAGGAGGGAGGCGGCCAGTGTTTTGAGGAGGTTTGCGGGGGATGATGTTGTGGAGGGAACAAACATGATGGCTTTATTCAATAGCAAACGGGAAAACCTTTCTTGGCCCAGGTCAACGTGTCCTCTTTCCTTTGGTTTGGGCAGAGTCTGCCTTTTCGAAAACACCACTTCTGAAATGGACCTCCTCGGGATCGGAACCTTGACAGAACAAAACGGCTGGTATTGAGCTCACAAAAGACCTTATATATTATATATAATATATTTAATTAGCTTGACGAATAGGAACACATCCCCTCACTCGCCCAGCTCTCAGGCCTGACCACGCGAGTGTCTGGTGCACCAGAATGAAGGTGCCAATGGCAAGGGCACGCCATGGCATGCTGAAGCTACGGAAAAATTGCGCCCAAAACAAATCTCTACCATCTGGCTAAATCACAAACCCACAGGTTTTCCACAGGAAAATGAAGCTCCACATGTGGGTGCGGTCACGGATGTGTTTCAACCCACCAACAGGGACCGAAGTCACCAGCTTCCAGAATTGGAGATTCCGCGGCAGAGGTTAGGGCTTTGCTGCTCCACTGGCACCGTTTGGCCGTTGGAGTTTCCAGCGGATTCCAAGTGAAACGCTCCAAAACGTCAGACCTAAATCACCAATAGTGAATCTCTTCTCTGAAAAGGAATGATGTACTATTACTATATTACATGCTCCATTATGCTCCTACACCAAAGAATTCATATCAATTCATGCTGTTGACTCATGCTGTGTACTTCGTTGGAGTTTCAGGATGCTGTCCAGCTGCAGAGCTTGGCACTAGTAGGCTGTTCCTGGGTCCTTTCGTACTGACCTGCATTGACTGAGGCCTCCTCTCCCCCATGATAGGCCCGCGAACCACGCCACGGGAAGGAGCTGCGGCGAGAAGCCGGCGTTCATCCAACGAAGTTGCCCAACACTAAAGAACCTCAAACTGTGGTTTCCCACCACAAGTTGTCCAACTGCTTGGTGTTCTGTGTTAAGTACAGTTGCCCATCCCAGAAGTTGCCCAGTCATAAGTTGCCCGGTACCTTGGTGAACAAGGTTACCATGGCTCCATCACTCCATGACCCTGAGATTCTCGATTTTCTCTGGTGTCTTTTGTGCACGTATTGCAACTCTCTACCATTCAGAAAACAGAGCCATGTTGGATGTCGGATCATGGTGCGGATCAGCCTCTCACCTCAAGTTCACTGGACAGATTTTGAAGTATATATTCAATTTAATGTATTCCAATTGGCACTTGGAGGGGCCACGTCATCTACTCGAGTTCAATATGCGTGCATTGCAAAAAAGGGAGATCCCGCCCCAGTAGGTTGGGCCTATGTTCCTTCTTCCAGGGGGTCTTTGTTTTCGGTCTCCCTATTTCAATGCACACCATAGTCAGCCAATTTATGCTGCTCTCATTCCGCAGAAGATCGCAGAAGTGTACACTTCGAGTCACGTTCCATGGAAGTGGACAACCACCTGTTTGTAGAGGAAAATTGTCAAGGGGCCATACCATCCACTTCCAAAAAAAATCAAGCAGTGTATCCGGCTCACATATGGATGGGTCTTAACCATGCAAGTTCCGTAACACCGCCCCAAACTCCACCCCAAAGAGGTTCACATCAATCTGGAACAAACTATGTGTGGCGTTTATTTAAAACAATCGGACCCTCTAAAAATCCACAGTAAGTAAAGTTATTTTTATCTTTGGCATCTAAATGCAAACACCAACCAGCCAAAGAACCAGACCATGTTTTTGTTTGTCTCTTAACAATGCACTTTTTGTTTGAACACTTGTGTATAGCCTGTGTGTACTTCCACATGAGACTACCGCCCAGCTTGGCGCTGAGCTGAGCTCCTTCGGAGTCATTCCAGTCAGCCCGACCCATGTCAATAGATTCCAAGTGCTGCTACACCCCGCACTTCATTACTAGCAATCACTGGTTGGTGGCTTCAACTCACCAACGAAGATATGAGTCTGTGGGATCAATCATCCCAAGTAAAGGTTAACCATAAACATATTTGTGACCACCCAGAATAATGTTGGCTTTTGATGCATCTGAATACTACACCCCATGTGCCTTTTGGGACATCTCGAAGTGGAGAAAAAACTGCTGTATACCAGCTGTTTCCAAAAGGCCACAGGTCTCCTTTGGGCGGCAGCGCCAAGAACCGTCTTCCCACCTGCATCCACTTGAACCACTGCCAACATGACATGGTCTAAGCCACCCCTATCGTTTTCTGCAAAAACATCTGGGAGACGTGTCTTCCTCATTTGTTTGAAGCCTTCACCGACAAAAAATCACTGAAGTGCAGCAAGGGCAAGTGCTTTCATCGCAGGCGTTGATCCCCCCGACCGGCTCCAATTCCCAGACCATCCGTGGGACTGGAATATGTACCTACATTGACGCTTAAAACACCTGAAATCACACCAATGTGGGCAAATTTTCCAGTCCCATGGATTGTTTGGGTTTGAGAAGCATGCAATGTTTTCCAGCGCAAGATCACGGTCGTGCTCCCACGCAAGATCACGTGCACCTTGGATTCAGTGGGAATTCCAGAAAAGCCGAGGATCATGAATGAGATATCATGAACCCTGATTTACGCCAAATTATCATCAGTACATCATAGTACATCGTGGTAACCACTGCGATCCAGCACTCGCAGTTGAGGCCCGGTGGTGCCAAGTGCCATCTGCAATCCAGCGCTTGCGGTTGAGGTCCGGTGGTGCCCACTAGGATCTAGCACCGGCGGTCTAGGACCGGAGAAGGAGGCGGACGAGCGGGAAAGCACAGCTCGAAACTCTAACAACCCTCGCCTAGGTGGGGAACTTCGAATACTCATTGGTAAGTCATGAAAGTGGATGGCACCACCACCTGATTGGTATTCAGATTTCATGGTCGTTCGAACTTCGGGGCCATGCTATCCACTTGTTCCACCCTCAAGAGAGTATTGCATGTCCTGCTCGAATCCACATCGTCTTGACTTGAACACCCATCCATCCATATCGCTTGGGGCTCGCCAAGCCCTTCAGCTCTTCACGGTGACTGCGTACTTGTTTTTGCCTTGCCTTGGCACGGATCCTCCAAAACCATTACAGTGGTTTCAGAGTAAATGGCACATTCCCCAAAAGGTGGTTTATATTAGTTATATGGATTCCCATCTGAAAAACATCTTGGAGTTTGTGCCATCTACTCTGAAACCGCAGTGAAACACATTCCCAAACAAACATTAGCCTCCTGCAAATGAACATGGACCCCCATAACCCGTGGTTGTAGATGAAAATCGTCTTCCTCCTGCAGAGATGTAACATCCACTACATCAACCTTCAACTCGCCGGTGCCGTCTCTTGTGCCCCGACGAAGAAAAACCGCTCCAAGGTGCTGCACATGACAGAACGCAGTCCGTCGTCATCGACGTAGCGAGTCCGTCGCATGGGCGCCTGGTCGGTGAAAGCCGAGCTCACAAAGGCTTGATGGGTATTGTGCCCAAACAATCCACGGGACGACGGGAGTCGGAATATTTAGTCAAAATGTAGTCAATGGAGCAGCAACAAAAATGTCAGTCCCATGGATGGTCTGGGGTGGGTCCCATGAACCTAGAAACATCCTTGCCAAGAACAACGTCGACTCCACACAGGGTATAGATTTCATCAGGGTCCAGGATGGTCCAGGTCCGTTTGACCGGCGAAACGAAGGTAATGACGCACGTTCTGCGTGGTTGGAAGATCCAGGATATAGTAAATCAATACCCAAACACTCCATGTATGCCATATATGCCTACATTGACCCCCCAAACCACCCCAACTGATCGGCATATATGGCACACATGGAGAGTCTGGGATATGTGTCTCATTCGTGTCCCGGGTGAACCTTGCATTTCAGTGGTCAGAACCGAAAGTGTGGGCCGAATCGGATTCGATCGGAGGACAATTGAGCATGTATGAATTGGTTGCAGGATAATCTACTGGAAACCATCCAATGGTTGTCCAATGGAGATCCCTAAGTAGTGTTGGGTAGTCCACCCAGACAGGATGGTTTTGGTACCAGACACCATGGTCACCTTTTCAGATCGATCCCCGTGAAGTCTCTAACCACGCTGCGAGCGGGGAGAATTCGCAGCGTGCTATGTGCTTCGTGCGCGACGTGAGAGGCAGACCCTTTCAGGCCATATGGCAAAGCAGGAAGGTGCCAGAGGCGAAACGATCTAACCATCCTGGAGAATCCTGGAATACACTGTACAAGATGGAAGTCGGCGTTCCAAATTGACGAACCTTTGGTATTGAGTATCATGCATGACTAACTGGGTTTTGCAAGAAAGTCTCAGTCACCGGTCGGCATCTTCGCAGTCCACGACTGACCGCCCACGTTCCGCGACTGCCGGTCGCACCGGCCGCTTTGCGGCAGATGGTCCATCGGCCAACAAGTAGATCCGGCGATGGGCAATGAGGAACTGCCCACGGAAAGAAAATCGGGAAATGCGCTGCAAAATGGTCCATGCAATGGTGATGTTTTGTCCACTCAAAAACCTCACGTGGGAAGGATTTGCACGCAATATAATTACTCCCTAGGGCTCCAACTACCTCCTGAGAAGATGGTTGGGGTGGATGCCAGGGGGGTCTAACCACCATCTGAGGAGATGGGACAGGAGCCCTAGGGAATGTTCCAAACAACATTGGAAGAAACATGCTGGGCCTCTGGATGACTGTGAGCTTGTCCATCTTGCATTGATGTCATTGAAAGCAATGAGCAAACGATGCATGCCATACACATATATACCTAGACCCCGCAAAAAAACGTATTTTTTTCTGGTGAGGGCAATTTTCAGGCGAAGGTAAAACAAGCCCACACAACAAACAGTTTTGGTGTCGATTTTTTCTGCGTTGTTTTTTGTCACTTCTGCGTCATTTTGGTGTCATGTTTTCTATCGCGAATTTGCTGCATGTTTCTGCGTCATGTTTTCTGGCGAGACGGGAAAAAAGACATCGTTTCAGGGTGCAGGTATAGGTTAAGCATCGACATCTGCTCATGGCGGACCACCAGTCATACTATACAGGAGTCTGAGCTTCCATTTGTCAAGTCAAACGGATGGTCTAGTCTGAGCTTCCATTTGTCACCCCAAACGGATGGTCTATAGGCCAATAATAGGTTTATAGTAAACTGACAATGAATCAGAACAGGCAAAGGACCATCAGGGACACTAAATGGTTCCCTACAGGTCCAAAGACCCTCTATGATATATAAGACATTGCCCTTTACATGATGGATCAAGTATGGTGTGTTGATGTGTTTCTGTATGACCGACGCTAAGGACCAGGTCAGTTCCTGACCTTTCCGGGGTTTGACTGTAGTTTTCTTCTTTTGCCTTTCTACACGAAGTGAAACGTGACTAACAAAGCAAAAGAAGCTTCTATTTCGCTGAGATTCACGAACGCTTAGTCATGTGAATCACTAGCTCGCTTAGTTTCTTCAGTGACCAGCTTCCATTCCGCCACGCCTTCCGCTGCTAGTTCCGGCTCGGCACGAGGGGGGAGCGATCGGAATTGATCTCGCAGTTGTGATCTCGGGGAGTGCAGTCGACCATTCTCGAAGTGGTCTGGGTGATCAAACGCAGTGGTCCCAAACTGAGTTCCACAGCAGTCCTATGGCAGTCCCATGGAGCGTCTGGGGCGGCATATATAGACTCCGTGTATTAAACCCTCCCCATTTGGATTGAACAAGTCTCTTGATGTGGAGGGGCTTAGAGTCTACATGACTTTGGTCCCCCAACAAACGTCGAACTATATGTCGAACTGGACTTCGAACGGGATCGTTCACCCAACGCTCGACGACTCGACAAGGGTCCCATCGGTAGCCTCCAAAAACACCATGTCCTAGGACACCCAAACACAACCTGTCACTGCCAGGACGGACTGCCGCCCTCACTTCATCCCCCCAGTCAACCACCCCTGGCCGTTTCGCAGTCCGACATGGCCGTGTTCGTGTCGACACCGAGACACCGAATCGGTCGACGGTCGACCCGATCCGCATGCGGTTCGGGTTGACCGTCGACCACCGTATCGACTAACGTGGTGGAAGAAAACATGTTCCTTTTGACTGAAGTCTTGGAATCCCTAGGCCTCCAGTCGTACCGAACCTGAGAAGGTGGGACTGGGGTGCGTGCCAGGAGGGTCCAGTCATACCGAACCTGAGGAGGTACTTGGAGGTGTAGGGAATATCCTTGAATGTGGCAAATCAGTAGCAACTTTGGAAGTTGAACTGTCCTTGAATGCGCGGCGGCCAACTATATCTACCTGATAGCAGCAACTTCTGAGCAAGAGATCAATCAAAATCCCTCCTGACCCTCGGGAAAACAATCAAGAAAGCTTCGCGCGCTGCGAAGCAACAACCAGCGCCACGCTTCAACCAGCGCCACTCACTTCTTCTTGCGAGCATTACATGGGCCTCGACCTGGCGTCGGGTGTTGGGCATCGAAATGAAGAGCACCGCACCGCAGTATATCGCAGAATAAAGGGTGATATAGAGCCATTGATAACCACCAAACCAATTGCAAAACCAAGAACGCCTTGCCTAAAGGCATAGCATAACTAACCATATTGATGACCACCTCTTGTGCGATCGGCCCGGTTTAAAGAAAAACCAGCACGTCACCTCATGACAGTTCACACACGAAAGTATTAACACTAAGGTTCCAACGTGCCAACGAGATAGGGAGACCTCTCAAGCAACGACCCCCCATGGAAGGTTCGGCACATAGACCAAAACCATCCAAAACCCATTGGTTGGGGATCACCCTATTAACAGTCACCCCCACTGTGTGTGTGTGTGCGTGTTTCGTTAAAAGAAACTGTTGTCTCCACGTATACATGGCAGGATCTATGCGGCAACAGCTAAGATGTCCGTCGGTCAAGTTATACGGAGCGGTTCAAAACAGCTGTCTGGCCCACCACCAATATACATGTGCTTGTTACAAAATGACTGTTCAAAAGTGTGGTGGTAAAAAATGATCATACCTGGAACTTCGTTACGGCAATAATAATTGCCGTTTTCATGAAACGTCGCCTTTTTCCGTTCTGCGGCGTTCTTCCATATTGATCTCATGCGAACGGCGTTTCTTGATGAACTGCGGCAGTTTCGGTCAGTTGACGGCAATTTTGGTCCGCACATCCATGCGCCTCAAAGAGTCATTTCGTTTTAGTTTTAGTGCAGGCGAGTATGAAAACATTGTAGGGTCTTGCTTGAAAGGCAACTGAACGTAAAAGGCGTTTTATTATATCAGCAAACTCGCATAGTCATGTGAAGTGGAAAGGGCAGCTGATGGAAGTGTCACATGCTGGGTTTTCGTCGGTTTTCGCGGGTAACTCGACCTCTTGCGCCGCGTTGCAGAAGATTTTTCGTTTAAAGTTACGGCGTTCTTACCCGTACTTGCGGCGTTTTTCCCCGTACTTACGGCGTTTTTCCCCGTACTTACGGCGTTTTCCCCCTACTTACGGCGTCGTTCCCTTACCCTGTCTAGGGTCACTCAAGGTGGCAGCAAGACTTGTCACAACATGTCACAAGCGATCCTTTCAGCCATTGCATGATCAAAATGTGAACAAATCCTGCCGTGATGTCCATCGAGACCTTAGACAAGGGCTGCAACATCTTGAGAAGTGCTACCATGAGGCTTGAAAACGATGAGCTCTACTTACAAGTGAAAAAGGAGAAGGCAATTTCAGGGTATGGACGGACCAAAACAATATCCTCTTTGGTAGATCAAACAAAACGGCGATTCTTCTTTTGTGACGGCGTTTTCACTTCTCTGACGGCGTTTTCACTTTCCAGGGATTGAGCTACGGCAGAAAAAATGAGTTGCGGCAAAAATTATTGCCTCAACAGCCTACGGCAAAAATTATTGCCTCGGGAGGGTCTAGGTATATGATCATCCCACCAATACAGTATGGACATGGACAAAAAGCGATGGTTCCAGTTGTGCGATGGTTCCCACCTCACACATTTGTGATGTGCCAGTCCACTTTGGCTTCCTCGCAATAGCCCCAGGTCTTCCTCGGGTGTCTCACACAGTCGCGATGTCCCAAGTAGCGGATTTTAACCATCCAACGTCAGGGTGTGAACTCGTCATGTCATGTTTCACATGTTTCACTTGCTTTGGACTGCAGGACCAGGGTGAAACACCGAATGAGTCTAGTCTGATGCAAAGTGACCGGTGAACAGAAAGGGACAAACAAAGTACCCCCGAACAAGGCCATGTCTTGGCGCCAACCCGGGTGGCAAGGACAAATTGCCACTTCCCAACAAAACTCTGAGAAGTCCGGTGAGACGGTGAGATTCTTAGATGGAACATCACATTCCCTGCATGTTTCACCTTCTCAGGACTTCAAACAGCATGTCCGACGGGTCCGTTTTGTTTTTTTTTCAGGCATGTGAATGGGCATGACTGCTG